CGGGAAAAGACCCGAATACAACAAGACCAGCATATCTACACCTGTGAAAGTCTACAAAAACATACATACATACATACATACATACATACATACATACATACACACACACACACACACACACACATACTACAGACACACACACATGTATGTATATATATGCCTTGTAGATAAAGCACTATTTGTATTTTGCTCCTGGATTGTCTCAAAATAGTAGTCATACTCTGCACACACTGACAAAGCAGATGGACACAAAGGCAAAATTTGCTAGCAGGTTTTCCTGTAATAAAAATCTTATTATATTTAACAATTTATTTGTGTTTATCAATTATTCCAACTGCCTTGTCAGTGTCAGCCAGTTTCTAACCCTACTCACCGTACTGTATACCTAGAACTATTTCAATCAGGTGGATTTGAGTTATTCTCCAAGTCAGCTTCCCAATCTCCAGTATTAGCCTTACTTCAGAAACTGTGGATAAGAATGACTGAAATATGCATATAAAATTATTTGAATGGCTTTAAAAAAAACCATACACGATTCTTATTAGAGTAGCTGAAAACAATTATGGTCTAATGCAGGGGTGTCCAAATTTGAGAACTTTTAAGACTTGTGGACTTCAACTCTCAGAATTCCCCAGCCAGCTGGCTGGGGAATTCTGGGAGTTGAAGTCCACAAGTCTTAAAGTTCCCAAGTTTGGACACCTCTCGTCTAATGGAATGAATTTTGGACTCCTAAACATATTCAACTGTATGCCATTGAGAACATTATCCAGAATTATGTGATGAAGATGGCTAAGGAGACCACAGGGGTTGCCTCCCTTTTAGGCTCTGAATTTGACATGTCATTTCAGGCCTGTGACTTTTAGCCTAAAAAGATTGTTCACTTCTGATTTATACCACCCCTAATTATTTAAAGATCAATAAACGTATAAAATAGAGTAAACACTTGCCTTGTTGTTATTCCAAAAATTAATACAATATGCATATGAAAGAAAATAACTAAGAAGAAGCATACAGATAATATGATGGCATTAGCAGAAAGATACTTTCAAATTAAATATAAATAAACTCTCAAATTAAACATTACAGGGCACTGCTCACCAGAACAACTAGACACAAGGGCAGTTTCCCTCCGAATGCCATCTCTCTGCTAAACAACTAATTCCCACAACACTGTCATATTACCTACTAAGACTGTATTACTAATCTTCTCTTCCTACTACCTATCTCTTCCCACTTGTGACTATAACCGTGTTGCTTTTAACTTTATGATTTACATTATTTTGTTTCCTAGTATGTTTTAATTGCTTATTAGTAAGCTATGACCAGTGGTGGTTTCTATTATTTTTACTATTGGTTCGCTCGTGGATGCACGCTTGCTCATCTCTGTTTCAAAGCCGAAGAGCCAGCACTGTCTGAAGACGTCTCCGTGGTCATGTGGCCAGCATAACTAAACGCGCACGGAACGCTATTACCTTTCCACGAAAGGTGGCCCGTTAGGAATGTAATTCTAACGGTTGGGTTGGCAATATATAAATCATGTAACAATGCNCACATTCAGATAAATCAATTCTGCGCCTTCAATTGTTAACAGTAAACGTTTACTGTTAACAATTGAAGGCGCAGAATTGATTTATCTGAATGTGGCAGTAAACAGTAAATATACATACATACATACATACATACATACATACATACATACATACATACATACATACATACATACATACTGTATACATAGGTTCAAAATGGTTACGTCCAAGGAAAGAAATTACAGTGAAGGACCAACCCCAGTAGCCAGTAGGAAAGTACATATCCCAAAATACATTTTGTGAGAATCCTGCTCTGTTTCCATCTGCTCAGAAGCATCCATACAGGGTTTTCATGTCTACAGCAGGTAGAAAAGAAATTATCCACTGAGAGTTTTTCAGCAAAGGATTTTCTGTGCTTGGATGGGGAGGCTCCATCCTGCAGCAAAGGCTCAGTGTCATAGAGCAGATGAGCACAGAACCAATAAAGGACTGGAGAAGAAGAACCCAAAAACCTGGTAAATACCTATTAAAGGAAGAGAAAGGAAGAGATTTACATCCATATCCATGTGCTCAAGATGTTTCAAAATAATTCTGTGAAGCATACCTTCATTCCAGCTACCAAATTTTCATTAAAAAATATAAAACATGTTAAGGTAATGATGACTTCATAGCTGACCAGCTAGATATATATGCTGGTCTTGTTGTATTTGGGTCTCTTCCCATGTAAGATTGAGTTTGTCTTGGCAACGTTTCGGCGAGGTCTCACTCGCCATCTTCAGGCTGGTGTTTTCGGCTTCGTGCTTGTGCGAGTAAGGCGTGGTCAGAGCTGTCGTCTTTCTATAAATCTTGGGGGGGGGGTTGGAGTGCTGGCTTTGTTGCTGTAAGTGGGTTGATTGGCTGTGTAATTGCATCCTGATTGGTAGATGGAGTTGATGTTTGTAGCTTGGTCGGCTGTTTCGTATCATCCTATGTGGCTGAGGTGCTGGCTGTGTGTCCGTTGTTCTTTTGTGTTGTAATGACCTGGGTGGTGGGTGGGGTTCGTTTGTTGACTAGGGCTGGTTTCCAGATGTCTGGTAGGCGGGAGGTATCGTCATGTTTATTCATGTTGTGGGATGCATCCAATCAGGATGCAACTACACAGCCAATCAACCCACTTACAGCAACAAAGCCAGCACTCCATCCCCCCCCACCAAGATTTATAGAAAGATGACAGCTCCGACCACTCCTTACTCGCACAAGCACAAAGCCGAAAACACCAGCCTGAAGATGGCGAGTGAGACCTCGCCGAAACGTTGCCAAGACAAACTCAATCTTACATGGGAAGAGACCCAAATACAACAAGACCAGCATATATATCTAGCTGGTCAGCTATGAAGTCATCATTACCTTAACATGTTTTATATT